AAAAACTCTAGAGACTCAGTACCAGGAAAACACGGGAGGGATCTGGAGAGGGAAGGTGAGTCAAGCCAGTCATTTCATTTTGCTCTGGCTCTCAGGAAAGGGATGTAAAAAAAAATACAACAACAATTTTAAATTGAAAGGTTAATTCTCTCTAGTTATCTACATTTTTATTTTAAGAATTATGAAAACTGTACTGATACCGGATTTGAAACCTAACATTATTAAATCTTTGGTTTTGAATTTACATGCACAAACTTGAGCAAAAGCTGAATTGTATTCTCCTTATACTTGTTTCTTCTCTTTAACTGAAAAAACTAATGATAACACTTATTTAGAGGCTTATTGTAAGAATCAAATCAAATATGTAAGAATCAATCATATATATATTATATATATGTGTGTGTGTGTGTGTGTGTGTGTGTGTATGTGCATAAAACATATATTTCCATTTATAGAAAACCTGATAAGTGCATTTTATTACCCACAGGCCCCACAGGCCCTTTTCATACAGTTTTATTAGGAAGCTATGAGAATATACTTTACTGCCAATATTATTTAAACTCAGAACCTTGTATCCTCATTTAATATTGGTAGACAAACTATTTAGCACTTTCCAGATTAAATTTTTTACATGTCAGTGTTTGTGGGTGTTAAAATAGAGGTTTTTGTGTGCAAACCTATTTAGTACTAAAATACTATACATTTCAATAACTTAAAAGCTGTTTAAATCTGACAATTAAAAATAAGGGCATCTAATATCCAAGTCAGTAAGTTAAAACCATAGCAATATCTAAGCAAATTTGGCTTGGTAGCATATATATGAGTCAGTGTAGAAAGTGAGGAGCACAGAACAATTTAAACATATGACAAGGTTAGCCCTCTGCCTTAAGCCCTAATGTAAGACTCCCATCTCTGGACCTTCCATTCCTTTTCACACTTTTTTATGAGACCAATTAGATACATCTTTCATATCTAACCCCTCCCTTCATGGGGACCACAGCATATTTTTACTTCTGATTTAGATAAATTAAGTTTCCCTAACCACCATAATTATCTTATATATCAGAAAGTCAACCACCCCCTCCCCCATAGTCCTTTCAAGTCAAATCAACTGGATTGCCTTAGATAACCTTAATTGTCTCCCACATTGTACAGTTTTGTTCTTTCTGTGCTTCTATGTGACAAGCACTGATTTAAATACCTTCTGTGAGTCAGTGAAACATCTGTATAGTCTTCAAATGAGTCTTGTATAATATATAAAAATGTGTTATATAATATATGTAAGATATTTTGTAGTTATTTATAACTATAAAATATATTTTACTATATTATTTTTATTTGTACTATTTTTAATTATATATGATCTATATTATGTATTACATATTTATTATTTACATATTGTATATTATATACAAAAAGAAGTTATTATAAGTTATATAATTTTAATTTATTGGAAACAGTGCACGCTTCTCTTAGAAACTCAGTAACATTTATAAACAGAAACATAAACCTGTACCTATTTGGAGAAAATATGAAAATATGAAGAATGGGAAAATAGTATGATAATCACTGAAACACAGTAAAAGAATCTTGGCTTTTATTTGCAGTTTAGAAAAATACTATGAAATTTTCAGAACCTCAAACATTATATTCTGAATGCAGACTTTGCAAAGAACTCATCCATAGAGGACAAAGACAACATTCTGCAGCTGTCCTTTGAGAGATTCTAATTGTGCAGAAGTTAGGTGAATGCTGAGTACCATCCATGACTGAATCTGCAACCTGACAGAAATCTTCCTTTGTTCTCAAGGCAAAAATTTGTATCATCAGTACAAAGAAAACATAAAAGTTCTTCTTAATGCCTAATAAAACTCTATTCCTCTACTCTACAGGAAATGCTACTGGTCTCATTTCCTTGAGAATATAATGTAAGAGGAGGAGAGACAAGGAAGAAGAGAGAAGAGAAAGTTGCCATGAGGGGAAATGGATGATGAACACATGGCCAGGAGAAACATCATCTGTGATACTCCACTTGGGAGGTAACCAGGCCAGTCAGCATTTAGTAGGTTAGCTTAGATGTCACCTGTAGCTGCCTGTGGCCACAGACAAACTGGGTTCACCTGAAAGGGGGGACGGAGAGGCAAGAGAAGCATGAAGCCAAGACAACATTTTCTGATCAGGGTTTGAAGTTTAATATTCAGCTCTTCTAATTTAAAAGGAAAGCCCCACCGAACCCATTCTTGTTTCAGCCAGAGATGGATGGGGGAACCCATCCTTTATTACAGGCAGAGATGTCTCAGGGCAAGCTCAGCGGGCAGTCTACTAAATTCCTGTAGCAAGTTGTACCTGCAGCCAAGGTGGGTAACTCTACCTAGGTCCTATTATTTGGTCTCTTGCGGTAAACAAGGTCTTTCAGGCCTGCTCAAGGTTGGGGGTAGGGCACAGTCACCCTGCAGCAGTTGTCAAGGCCACATAAAATAACCACAGTCTGCATCTCATTTATTCGTAAACTCATTGGAGATAAGCTTAATTTGGTTCCACTACATTTAATTTCTATATTTATCTCTTCTTTGATCCAGTTGTCCTCGAGTAGAGAATGCTTCAGTTTCCATGAGTTGGCTTTCTATTGTTTCTTTTGCTGTGGAAATCAGCATTCATCCATGGTGATCTAATTTAATGTAATTAAAAAGGTACTTCAATCTTCTCGTATCTGTTGAGGCTTGCTTTGTGATGGAATATGGTCTGAGGTATTTTCTACCTCAAGTTTTCTATTCCTGGTAATCTTTCCTGTCCACAGAATTCTAGGTCACTTATGGGTCAGAATTCTGTTGAGCACATCCCTGCAGGTGTCAAAAAGAGACTTGAACTATGCTATGAGGTGAGAGTGAAAACCCAGTACAGATTGACATTATCAGTCTGGATCAGACTTGGGGAAGTCTAATACTAGGCAGTTCATTGCCAGCATATTTAAAACACAGTACAATTTGGGGAAAGATTTCCAGGCAACAATAAGTCCAGTTCCAAATACACAATAATGCTTAAATCGTGACTATATAGAAACCCCTTTTCAAAATACATGAGTCTATGAGGGTGGGTTCTATAGCTAAGAGACGTAGAATGTAATGTAGCCTCTGATCAATAGCACAGAGATTAGTCAGCAGACCACAAAGTACATGTGACATCTCCCCTAAAGAAGGGTAACAGTCTAAGGAAGAAAAAGTCTAGGATAATTTTTCTTGGAGATTTGGGTAAGATGTTCCTCTCTAGGAAAAAGTAGATGAGGTCTGCCTCCACTGATAGCAAAAGGGTCACCAGGTCATTAACAAAATCCACTCTCAGCCTGTTGGATAGAATGCAGGTATTTCATCTCTTTTACTGAGAATAGGGATGTTTGCCATTCCTGGTTTCCCTAGTGATCCATAGATACAAGAACGTTTGTGACCCAACAACCCGTTGCTCATTAAAGAGTGGATATCTCCTGCAATTGGGAGCATTAGCTTCAGCAAAGATGAGTTCTGTATTTGACTATACAATGCATCTTTGTCAGTCCTGAAATCATATACTCAAAATCAACAGAAATGTGCTCAGCATGTTTTAGTCATACTTTTGAGCATACTTATTCATACATACTTGACAAGGAAGAAATTGTCTGGGAAGATTTGGGGGAAAGATAGAAAGAAGATTGAAAATGGTAAAGTGATTTAATATGTTTCAATTCAAATGTATATAGACAAATTTTAAATAAACAGTGGCTAGATAGATAGCTTAGCAATTAAGAGGAATTGGGTGCTGTTATTGAGGACCCAGTTCCATTTCCAGAAACCACATTGTAGCTAAGGACTTGCTGGGACACCAGTCACAGGCATCTCCTGCATTCTTCTGGCCTCTGTTGTTACTGCACACAGTCATGTGCAGGCAAACATCCATCCATAAATAGAAATAAAATTGAAGCTTAAACTATAAAATTATATAGAGGGGTGTCACAGCCCTGAAACAAACAGCAGTGAGAGCAAGTTAAAATGAACTCTTTCATGGAAGCAGCTGTGGCCTTCCTTTGAGCCAGCCAGCTCCGAGGCTAAAGTAGCCTTACTGTGAGGGTAGACTAGCTCAGCAAAGATGTTCCTCTAAGAAAAGTGTCCATAGTTGTGTTAGGTGACTTTTCCTTCATGTTTTAGGGAATGTGTGTTCCCTGTCCTTTGCATATGTGAGAATTGTGACCACTTTCAGCAGAGAATTTGATTCAGCATTTACAGGTGTAGGAAAACCTGTAAGTGAACATATCCAGACTCCCTCGGAAAAATTTCAGTGTGTTTTTTCTTGAAGGAAATCATTGGTTTGGAAATGACTCCCATGATCTCCTTGCTTGCCCAACAGGGAAGATGTGCCTGCAAAAAAATAGTGCTCCACATTGTTTGTCTTCATTTCAGTAACAACAACAGCAACAAACTTTTAAAAACAAAACAACAACAAAAAAAAAAACCCCTCACCACTCGTTTACTAAAATCTCTATAATTCGTTTGCGTTCTGAGCACACTTCCACTTGTAGGACAGATTAATAACTACACTGCAATTTGCTAATGGGCTATCCATACTATCTACCTTGATTCCAGAAGGAAGAGGGGAAGTGCCTACTGGGGAGCTCTGGAATCTTTGAAGTCAGGACCTGTGTGAGTACAGGCTCAATGTCCAGAAAGGGGAGAAGCTGGCTGCTGAGCAGTGCAAACTGGAGTTCTGGGTCATCTCTGGACCTGCGTGGGAAGACGTGTAAGCTATTGGAGGGCAGGCAAAAGTGCTCCTGAAATGCAAATCCCTGAAGATTAGGAAAAGATCTGCCTTTTGTTTAGAAGTCTGGGCCAGGAAACACTCAGCTGTGGACCTCCAGCAAGCTCGACCCCCTAGGGGAGGTGCTCAAGTCACTCAAGACACACTGGCCAATCAGACCCTTCAGACAGACCTGCCAGTCAGAGAAGGGAGGTACTTCCGGGAGCCGGGAGTTGCTGAGCGTGCCTGAGTGATCTGGTGTCCTATGCTCTGATCCCTGCTGCTGGGTGCTGTGGGATGCAATCAGCCGAACGCCAAAGTTTCAACATGGTGAGTACAGGGTCATTGCTAACAGTGTGGAGGAGCAGGAGGCTGAGCTGCGGGAGCTGGTCTCTCCCGGAGTAGGTGGGAACAGGCTGCCCTCTGTAGAGTCCCTTGTGGTTCTAACTACTCTTTGGACCCAGCGGTAGCTTCTGAATAACTTCACTGTGGGGGCTGCATCTGCATAGTGGCTTGTGTGTAGAAACATCTTGGCAGAATGCGAAACTCAGAGAACCCTAGTTTCTACATAATCTGCCCTTAGCATTTCACATTTAGGTGTAAGATACAGTTGGAGTTAATTTTGTGGAAGTTGCATCTCATGTGTTAGGTACCAATCCAGTATTAAACTCTGGTGTAAAAGAGTAGAATTGAAGATATAAAGGATTCAATTGAAGATGTAAATCCTTAGGAAATACTAAATCACACCAAATAGAATTTAGCTGAGGGAGGACTGCCTGTAAAACACCCACAGATACGGAGTATGCTAACCAGGTCTGTTAGAGATTAGAGTCCTAGGATACACGTTTGTTCACCAGAATTGCCCAGATATATGTCTTCAAACCATAAGAAAGGAAAAAACCCTGATTTACATCAAGCCACTAGGCCCATCCCCATATCAGAGAGCTCTAATAAGCTGCTCAATTTGGCATTACTGATCACAATAAACATAATGGCCTGGTGTGCCATAAAGGTTCAATTTTGTTCTAGAGAAAAGCATAGTTCTGCTACATGGGCAAGGTGACAACTATTTGTAATAGTAAAAAAATAAAAATACTGTTGTGTTGAGTGCTGGCCTGATCAAGCTAGCCTTTACCTGAAATCTGCTTGTATGGAGAAAGATATAGCTCCTTCTGAAACCCTGGAATATGCTTGGCAGAGGTAGTACCAGTCAGTGCCTAGGCCTTGGGGGCTTTCCCTAAGGCCCTGAGGTAGAGAGAGATAAAACAGAGCTCCTTCTCTAAAACAAGGAATATGCTTAGGAGAGCTCCTAATTGTCTGGAGCCATTCTGTTTGGGAGGGGTTGCGTCAGATTCGGGGAACACAACTCTTCCTACCACAAGGAGCTGTGGTTATCAGTCCTAAGGCAACTATAGGCTTAGTCAGGAGTGTTCTTGAGATACCCCGAGTTCCCTTTGTGCAGCACTGTTTGATTAGAATGCTCCTCAGTGTGTACCGTTTCTGCTGACCTCATAGAGTTCTTCCACTTCCCCCATGTAAGTAGTGTAGAAGATGATATTCTTCTTAAGAAGCTTAAGTAGCATAACACATAGCTTATGCAAGACCTCCCCACCCCAGTGTTTATACTCTTTGTTCTACCATTAGCCTGAGTTGTTTGGGATCTCCATTTGACCTCTGCAGAAAACAACTAAACTGATTGTAATCCATTCCCACCACTTAAGTCCTGCTTGACTTCAAAGGATTGCCTGTTCAGACTGTATTCTCCATTAGAATGAATCCTCATGAAGGTCACCCTTTAGATTCTAGGAATTTAGTAGTGCATTAAGTTTCTACACTAATCCAAAATGTCCCCTAATTCCAGCTGGTTCTCTCTGCACTGTACTCTCTTCCTCCATCTCCCAACTGATGCTCCACTCCTGTCCTCAGTCACCTTCATTAACCCACATAATCTATTCGATTTTACCTTTGCCTCCTCTTTTCCTGTAACCTCTCTGAGTTTTTAGGTTGTAGCTAGAATATCATTTATCTAATAGCTAATACCATTTAATGCCTACCATATTTTGGTTTCTAGGTCTTGGTTCCCTCTTTTGGTGATTTTTTTTTTTTTAGATGCATCTATTTTCCTTTAAATTTCATGATGTCATGCCACCATACCAGAAGGTTTTATGTATTCACTTAACATTCTGAATGGTGCCCCATCACCACCATCCTCCAGTTTCTTATCTATCCTCCCACTTTCTTCTCTGGGAGGGCAGATGACCCCTCTGGGTGTACCCCCAACCCTGGCACATCAAGTCTCTGCAGGACTAGATTCATCATCCCCCACTATGTCCTGAAAATGCAGCCCAGTTAGGGGAATAAGAGTCACAGACAGACAACAGGTTTGGGAAACCCACATGAAGACCATCCTACTCATCTGGGTCTCTCAATCCTTCCATCAACTCTTTAGAAAGACTCACTGAGCTCCATCCACTATTTGGCTGTGGGTCTCTGCATCCATTTCAGTCAACTGCTTGATGGAGCCTTGTAGAGGACAATTATGCTAGCCTTCTGTCTGCAAACATAAGAGAATATCGTTAATAATGTCAGTGTTTGGTGCTTGCCAATAGGATAAGTCTCAAGTTGAGCCAGTTATTGTTGGGCCACTCCCTCATTCTCTGCTCCATCCCTGCATTTCTTATAGACAGGACAGATTTTGGGTCAAAAGTTTTGTGGGTGGGTTGGTGTCCTTATCCTTCCACTTTGGGTCCTCTCTGGCTACAGAAAATAACCATTTCAGTATCCATATCCCCACTGCTAGGAGTATCAGCTAAAGTCACCCCCATAGACTCCTGAGTAGCCTCACCCATCCCAGATCACTGGCAGGTCCTAGAGATGGCACCCACCCTTGACAGCCACCTATTTCTGTTAATTCTCTTAGCCTTCTGTCCCTCTTTCCTGTCTCTCCCCATAAATGATTCTCAACCCCCACATTTCCCTTCCCATCCCCTCTACCACCCAATCCCTTCCCTCCATCTGCTTCCTATAACTATTTTATTCCTCCTTCTAAGTGAAATTCAAGCATCCTTCTTGGGCTTTCTTCTTGTTTAGCTTCTTGAGTCTGTAAAGTGTAGTATGTGAATCCTGTACTTTATGGCTAATATCCTTTTTTAAGTGAGTACATACCATACATGTTCTTTAGGGTCTCAGTTACCTCATTCAGAACGATTTTTTCTAGTTCTATCTAGTTGACCGCAATACTGGCAATGTACTTGTTTTTAATAGCTGAGTAGTATTCCATTGTGTAAATGAACCACATTTTCTGTATACAGTTTTGGTTGAGGGGCATGTGAGTTGTTTTAATTTTTGCCTATTATGAAGAAAGCTGCTATGAACATAGGTGGAGCACATATCCTTGTGGTAAGGTGGAGATCCTTTTAGGTATATGGCCATGAGTAGTATAGCTGGTCTTCAGGAAAAACTATTCCCAGTTTTTCAGAATCCAATGGATAGGGTCAGAGTTATTATGCAGGTTTACTCTCCCACAAGCAATGAAAAAGCATTCTCCTTTTTCCATATTCTCACCAGTATATGCTGTTGCTTGAGTCTTTGAACTTACCCGTTTTCAGGTGGAATCTCAGTCATTTTGATTTGTATTTCTCTGATGACTAAGGTAGTTGAACATTTGTTTAAGTGGTTTTCAGACATTCGAAATTCCTCTGTTGAGAATTGTCTGTTTAGCTTTATAACCAATTTTTAAATTGGGTTATTGGGTCATTGGTGTCTAACTTCTTGAATTCTTTGTATATTTTGGATATGAACCCTCTGTCAGATATAGGGGTGTTGAAGATCTTTTCCTAGTTTGTGGACTGCTGTTTTGTCCTATTGATAGTGTTCTTTGCATTACAGAATCTTCAATTTTCTGGGTTCTCATTTACCAGGTGTTAGTCATAGTGCCTTATCCATTGTTGTTCTATTCAGGAAGTTGTGGCCTGTACCAGCTGATAAGTTATATCCTCACCAGTAAAATGATCTAATTTAAACATTAGATTATATAAAGGAAGGTTTATTGGGAAGCTGCTGTCAAAGGAGTTCACTGGCCCCAAATCTTTCAGTTTTCTGTTGTGGGTTGTCCTGATGTTGTTTGTATTATGATATTTATCTGCTTCCTCAAAGGAGTTTGCCCCTGACTAGCAGTCATGTATTCAGGTGATCTCATGTGAATCTTCTGCCCATTTTAACTGGCCAATAAAGGCTACAGCCTGTGATTGGAGACTGGAGGGGAAAGTTGGGACTAGAGGTTTGAGAGTGGGGCAGGTAGAGAAACAGAAGAGGATAAGAGGGGAAGGAGAAGAGGAAGCCATGATGGACCAGAACCGTGTGGCCAGGAGAAATTACATGTAGCAAGGCATCCTATAGGTGGAAAATGAGTTAGTATAGTTAGATCTACCCAATCTATGTTTATAGATTATAATTATTGTTGTGCTTTATAAAAAAGATAAGGAGAGAGGGAACATGTTTGGTGGATCTGTAGCCAGGTGTGGGGAAGGAGGTGCCGCTGGAGGCCCATGCTAAGGCATCCCTTTCCCCTAAGGGACCAGCCACACAATGGTATAGTATAGAGTAGAGTGTATTCAGGGCATGAGGAGGGGAATTGAAAGGGTAGTAGAGACAGAGAATGGCAGAGAGAGAGAAAGAGAGTAGAGGAGTTGAAGGTGGCCATGAGGACATAGAAAGAGAGAAGGGAGGGGAAAGGAGGGGGGGAGAGAGGATTAGGGACAAGAGGACAGAGCAGGAGCAAGAAGGCAAAAGAGAGAGGAGGGGTCAAGCAGCACCTTTTATAGTGAGTCAGGTATGCCTGGCTGTCACCAGGTAACTCTGGGTGGAGTCTAGACAAAATGTTAACAATTATACTAACTGGATTGTATGTTTATTATATGGGCTTATTGCGGTTGGAAATGCCAGCAACAATTTTCCCCAACAGTATTTCTGGATCAAATTTTCTATTAATAGAGATCTCCCGTTGTAGGGGCTTTCACCATTCCTCATTAGTCCAGTAGACACAGCTATTTCTTTGTCAATCATATCTCTTGTATTTTCTATGGACATCCATGTCCTTAGTGACTCAGGCCTAGTGTTCCTTTTCCTTGATGTCTTCAATGATATTACCTACTAAAATTTCAGGTTTCTCAAAAGTGTTTCTTACTGCAAATATTTCCTGATAAAGGTTAACCATCATGAGCTGGCTAAAATTTCCCAGGGAACAATTAAACATTCAGTCTCCACATCTAGAACCCCTTGTCCCATTACCCCTGGATTGACTGTTTGAATGGCCCAAGCAGTTTGTTCTT